TACAAAAAGCTTCAAAGTATATGGCAGGATACCAGCTGAATTCAGGGTATCTGCGAACTAGTCTTTCGCTCTCAGCGGAGATAAGAAAAAGTCACGTGGAAGATGTGGCAGGAAAGGGAACGGGCGAGAAGCGCGGGATCCGGACCAAACAGTATTTCTTCCGAATTTGATTTCAGTTTTTGATTTATGTTTTTGATTTTAGTTTTGCTGTTAACTTCTACAATTTCAGTAGAAGTTCATGCGGTTGGAATGAGTTGGGCCTGTACGCAGTGATCCTTGCCGGCTCCACCGGTCCTTGACCCAATGTGGAAAAGATAGCGTTAGCTTAGGACCAAATGTAAAAACAAAAAACAAAAAAACAAGCAGACCATTTTCCTCGTGGGAAAGCCGCTCTATGACATGGCCTAAAAAGGCTTAATTTTAGATTCTGTATATCTAGTAGCTATCTTACTATATATGGTAGACTTCTGAGCTCACACAGAGCGTCACACGGATTGGGACTGGTAATTAGGACTATTCCGACTTCGAGGTTAGACTGTGATAACGCAGCGCTCCTGGAGATGCGAATGGGGCGCACAAGGAGGTATCAAGGGGGTTACGTACCAGATGGGAAGTATGTTCAGTAGAAGAGGTGAGCCGGGAAGAAAGAATGATTCTCAAATGGCCAAGGTGGAGAGCTAAGACTAGTCCACACAGAGGATACTAGGGATAGGAGACCACGTGGTAGATTAACTCCCCAAGGAAGAAGTTATTAATTCCTCCCGAGTTATTGTCTTTCATGTACATCTGGATTCATCTAACCCTAAGACTGAGTAACAAAAGCAAGATAAATGGCTGGAAAAAGTCGTTGAAGATCTAACAAATTCCCAAGGAATTCCACACCCAAGAGAGATTTCGCTTTCAGAGTGTTAGCTCCGTGATGACCCCTTATATTTTTGCGACCGAATGTACGTTCTGGACAATAAACTGTAGTTCCTACCCGTAGAACCTTCTCATGATAGCCGTGAGAGAGGACAAGCAGGAATAAATGGCATTTTTTAAAGCCATTGTTGGAGATTCAGACCCCGTCGGTCTGAAGCTTCTCTACGATTAGAACAACCAAGATTCTCACACATGACTCACGACCAAGATGATTGATATCTTCTTTATTGAGTATGATTGATGCGTGAGACTCCACTGGTGCATGGTTTGCTTTGGTGCCAGTGAGATAGACTTACATGCACCGACCCTGATCCCATACTCATGTTATATACCGTCGTGTGATTCATTGTCGGTGTTAGAGTATGGAACAAGGAGTGGTAGATGATACCTAATTTGGATTGGTCCACCGAGAAGACACGTATGCAAGCTTTCTAGGAATCACCAAGACAGCAATTAACATTATCAATCCATTCCATTTCTCCCCCTCGTATCACACATTCTCCCGATTCATATCATTGGTATTCTATTCATAAACCGCGCCCATATTCTTTGAGCCGCCCTACTCATCGAACCCATGTCGATTTTCCAACTGCAGCAACCGATGACCGCTGGTGGCCCTGTTTATGCCCAAAAACTGAGCAATTTATTGGAAATTGCTACAACTGTCAAAGCTATGAGATTTCTAGACTCAGATATCGAGAGCCCTTAAACCTCACCCCCTATCAGTGCAGGGCTGGCGTGATATATCAGTAGACATTGTAAGTCCTCGAGCTGAATTTGATTGCTTTAACTGCGTTATGACTGAACTAAAGAGCGACATTATACCCCTTATCGTACCAAGATAAAAGCTGGAGAAAGTGCCAATTTTTTCGTCCAAGAAGTTGGGCGACTTATTGCGGTTCGGATAGGCTGACAACACTGCTATCCTCAGCATTGGTGGACCCCAGCAGATGCTGCCACAACCATTCAACACGGGTTGAACAGTATCCTGGACCGAGGAATGCAGTGCAACGCTATTGGCCGCACACTCATAGCGGGTATTTGGACAGGTTGGCCTGTGTGGAGGGTTACGCTCGTATCAGGCCTGCAGAGATAAATCGGGATCTCACCATCGCACCTTATGCTCGAAGAGCGGCGCCTTGCATTCGCAGCTAGGATCCGTCATCTAGATCAGTGCCAGCCCCTCCGCCTACGTGCTCTGGAGTGTAAAGAAGAGACTCGGTGTCGTCTGGGCTTACGCACATCTAATCGAGGCAGACATGGAAACGAGATGATCCACAATTCGCGGGTACAAGGCGCATCTCGGCTCCTGTCTATTATTATTCCTCTCTTGATATCGATCCGTACAAGCATACCGTATATTAGCAACTCATATTGATACTCAGGATTGCGATGAATGGTGTTCATTGCTGGAATATGATATCTTGGAATGCCAAGAATAACAAATTCGTAGGTCTGACTAATTGGACTATCAAATTCCCCATCAGGAGAGCAAGACTCAACACCTGTACGCGATGCCTTCTACGAACCTGGAAGTGAAATATTCTCCTAGATCCAAGTTGAGTCAAATTTTGCAATACCATAGAAGTTGGCCCACGAGGCAATGGTTCAAGATACTCCATGTCAATCTTATACTCCCAGCAGGATCTACTCCTACCAAAGCCTCATCAAGTCTACAAGTACGACCCAATAAATTCTCATTCCAATGACCTCACCTTTCATCGACTTTCTCCGGCTTCAGCTGGATACCAATATACCCTTACGCCGATATTTACATCCGCCAGAGGAAACAAAGCGTGGCGCACAAATCTGGGAGATAGTTCTTTGGAATGGGCGTGAGAGGGATCAGGATAAGTTCACAAGATGATGCAGAGGATGGATATACTCTCGAAGGGCGAGAAATTCCGAATCTTGGCAACGAGATTTATATCTGGAAGAGCATTTCGCACGCCAATATTTCAGCTGCGAGAGTACAGCTGACGCTATAGAAACAAGCCAACGATGGAAAGTGTCGTGGTCCGCCTTCTAGTGGTGTTCTCTTGTATAGTTTGAGTAGCCAGGGCACCTACTTCACTTCGAAAAGAGACGCCTCATACCACATTCTGCGCTAAGAAAAGAAAATGTATGGAGGCATGTCTGGATAACTCAGGGTTTTTGAGACGTTCTCCTGCGTGGGTATTCACGGGTGAGGGTTGACTTGGGGTGAGGAAAAGGCCGCCATAACTTCGCAGTGGTACCTGCAAATGAAATACGAGGCACGAGTGCTCTTTTCTATACATTTCCTCCGATATTGTGTCTGAGGTAGACAGCTGCTTACACCATTAAAATCTGATGCAAAAAAAGATTGTGTGCTAGTGTGCACGTACTACATATACGCACGTCATCTTACTAAGGGCCAGGTTGAGGCGAGGCTGTAACTAGATATAATGAATACAAATATTTGCAGTTTTGCGCATACTCATCAGACTAAGACTGCGCGAAGAAGTCGGTGCTTTGCTGCAACTGCTGTAAAGCCCATAAATTGTGGCAGAAGTGGGCGTGTCCGAATTTTGCGTCATACAAGGCTAGCGTTCAAAGGGCCAGGTATGAACTCATGGAAAGAACGGCAAATCTAAGAAAGAAGGAAAGTTTACCAGCGGCAAAACAATTGGAATATCAAGGCTTCACACTGGTGTCCCACCAAAAGCCGGAGGTATTAAAGAGGGGGCTAGGACGGCCGCTCAAACAGTCCCTGGTCAATCCACCACTTCAAATATTAGCGCCATCGTGTGACGGGCTTTGCCCGGACTGGGACTGGTCACTAGGACCACTCCGTCTCTAAGGTAAGGTAGTGGCAGAGCAACGCCCCTGGATAGACTAAAGGGGAGCTAAGGAAGATAGCCGGGAGAAAGGATGATTCTCATAGTGCTAAGGAGGGTAGCCAGGAGAAAGGATGATTCTCAGGGAGCTAAGGAAGATAGCCGGGAGAAAGGATGATTCTCAGGGAGCTAAGGAAGATAGCCGGGAGAAAGGAGTATTCTCATATGGCCAAAGGGGGGAGTTAACACTAGCGTACGCGGAAGACATAAAAGGCAGGATACGATACAGTAGTTTAGCTTCCCAAGGAAAAATAATTAATTCCTATTGAGTCAACGACTTTCGAGTACTTCCGAATTCCTTGGACCTTTTACACATCGGGGTCAAACTCTAGACCACAGTCATCACTTTTCGGCACGCGAGGCCAGGGAAAGAATGGCGAGGTAAATTTCAACTTTAACTAGTCTTGTCTCGGAATTAAGACAGATTGCACTTACTGCAGGTTACGATGGACTACAGATAGAAAACATAATAGGGGGAGGGGTTTTTATCGTAATGGTTTCCCCCTCATGTAAATATGTAAATAGTTTCATGGCTACCTGCATGAGCTCATAGGGTGCCGAATCAGGTTAAATGAAATCAAATTCAATATTTGCAGATTTATTTTAGGGAGATGACATTAGATAACATTTAGAGCTCGGTAAGTAGCATGTGAGATCTTCGCACGCTTAGCCCGTAAGTCTAAATGTATTTTCTTGGCAGTTTAACGCAGCTTTGAATGGAAGTCTTAGTTATCTTGACAAGCAGACTTAAGGGTTGTCCGACAAGGTGTTGCGGTGCTTTTTCGAACAGGAGGAATTTTAAATATGCCTGCGTGTCGTTCACAATTGTTGAATTCTTGTGACTAAATTGAAAGGGAGGAAAAATGGGATTATTGGAATGTCAAAAATCGTTAATGTTGTCGCTTATACTTGTAGTTATGGCTCAGATCTACCCCTCTTTTACCGTCAAACTGAACATGATATCCTTTTAACCAAATTATCACTCTATAATGGGAATATTGCGCCTATTTTGTTGCGCGACCTTTCTAGCAGTAAGTGTAATTTCATGTCCAATTGTTTTTTAGGGTCAGGGCTTGAGGATCATAGACTGTAAGGCCAGAATTAAAATCTATCACATACCATATGAGCCTTGCAGCCACTGGGAGAGTTTACGAATAGAAGTATTCGCGATCATAGAACAACCAAATTAGACTTAGTAATTGCAAACAAATAAATCTGTTTTCACACTTTCCTGGACATCAACTTTACATGCAACGGCTTTTTTTCCCAAAACCCGAATACCTTTTGATCCTTCCAGTTTATGCTATCTTGCTGGAGCTCGAAGTCAAAATTCCACAGCATTACGGCTAGAATGAGTCGAATCTCTAACTTGGCCAAGCTAAATAATTGTTAGCCACTTTCAAATCCAAAAAAAATAATCTCTTGAGAGTGACGATTTGAGGGACTTACTTCTTGCCTATGCAATTTCTTGGTCCAATACTGAACGGTTGCATCACTTTTCTATTGTCATTCCGATATTTTTCGGGACATCTCTCTTCTTTGCACCATCTTTCAGGGACAAACTCATCGGCATCAGTCCAAAAATCTGGACTCGTACTGGCTGGTACCAACGCTACAGAGACTGTTGTATTCTCTGGTATCAGCTCCCCACATATTATGCTTCCTCCTGGATTGGTGAAGCGTGGAATTATAGAAGTTGCCGGTGGATAGAGACGGAAGCTCTCCTCTATAACGGCATTAAAGAACTCCAATTTGGTTAGAGCTGCTCCAGTAATCTCATCAACGCTTTCAAAAGTGGAGCGTAGGAGAGAGGTAACTTTGGCAAGCTGTTGTGGATAGCAGAGAAGATGGTAGGTTACGCCAGAGAGAAATGTTGCCGCTGTTGTATTTATTAATGAAAATTATATCAAATTGGGCTTTGAGATCAACCTACTTGTCTCACTACCAGCTAGGATTAGAGTTCGAGCGTTAACCTCAATCTCAGGCTTTGTCATGCTAGCTCTCGTTAATTGGGTTTAATAGCTCAGGTTTATTGTGTGAGCGCACCCTTTTTCATCATTATGCTTGAGAATATATGTCATTAAATCCACTCGATCAGTTGTCTCAAGTGCCATACGAGCACGTGCTTTTTGTGAAGCAAAATCTGTTGCGTGGTGTCGCGCTTCTCGAGACTCACGAGGTGTGAGCCTGTAAAGAAGATTTTCTATAGGCCATGGAAAGTTTTTACATCCTATCCAACATACAAGATCTTTTATTAAAAGGAAGTTGTTGGATATCCAAGGATGTAGGGCGTCAGATCTGAGACAGCCAAATGATTCTCCAAATGCTAGATCACCCAGGATATCAAATGTTGTATAATTATACCATTTCACAAGATCGACTATGCTATCTGAGGGAGCGCTAGCTTTCTCGTGTAACTTGGATACAAGTTCAATAATATAGCTCTTTAAAAGTGGTTCATGTGCGGCGAGGGCCTTTTCCGAAAATATGTGCGCCTGTACGCGACGAATGCGTCTGTGGTCTGCATCATTTGCGGTAAAGAGTGTTGTTGAGCCGTTTTCCTCGGGTCGGAAATTTTTTGAGTTTTTGGGTAGATTTCCAGATTTTGGTGAGGTAGAATGTGCATATATGTCGGACCAAGCTTGCTCATCAATGTAAGAAAGTTCAGAGGGAGTAACGCGGACCACGTGGCCGTACTTTCGGTGTAGAGCCTTGAGTTGAAAGATATAATCACCTTTCAATACATGATAGCCTTTTTTCATGTAGGTTAATCGATTGAGAATAGGTCCAGGATACTTGCGTAAGGGGTGGAAGTAAAAATTATATATAGCGTTGAAGGAGGCATAGCTAATGCCAAAAGAGGTCTGGTGATTATTTAGTCTATGCTAGCCTCATGTACATGTAATTCCGTAGCTAACAGCGACTTACGATCAGCACAGCTATCGTTGGGAAAGAAAGCATTTCCAATGAGTATCACTTTGAAAGGTTGGTGTTCCGTTTAAGCGCAGAGATGCAGCTGCCTTTTATCAAACTGCGTGTTCAATACAAATTGATGATTTCATGTGAATAAACTAGGTCCAGCACCTCTTAATGACAACCTCAAATAAAGCTTAGAGACAAAGGCAGATGCAGATAACCGCTCGAAGTATTTATTGCCTTCCAGGTCCATCTAATAGCCCCTGTTGTATCTTCTATCCCAAAAGTCGATCAGCGCTAGTTTTATCGGATGACGCAGTCCTTGGTCAGGCGCGTAAACGTCATGTGTTTGACCTACGATCTTATGAACTTGAAAGTGCCGTATTCCAGCCGGCAAACTAGTGAGAATCCCTGATTACCTACCCTGTAAAATAATTTGTCATGTATGCCCCAGTCTATATGCATAATTCACACTATGCTAGAGACCTGTATTTTTAGTTGGAGAGTCAGATGCAGTCTAGAATTTTTGTAAAACAGAAATTATAGCAGTAATCCCGAGACACCGTTGACTTGCGTTTCCCGTACATTCTCAGTTATTTATATATTATACTAGGAACTAAAACCTTTACCATTCAGCTTTAATGATTGTTGCCATAGTTACACCAGGTCCTCTCATGAAGTTCCGTAATGAGCAGGGTAGCTAACGCACGGTGTTTCTGAACAGCTTCAATGTGAGCCTCAGGCTACTAAGTGCACGCGTAATCAATGAGCACACGACTGTTAATCTTCTACTGCTACGAAACACATGATGATGACAATGAACGCTTTAGCAATTATTATTATTAATTCATTTTATTGTCCTGTCTGCGTCTTTTGTCTCAGTAGGGACTTAATAGGGTTACTCGCTTGACGCGTGATCCGCCAGGCGTTAAATAAAGATAAATAAAATAAATATTGTCCTGTCTGAGTCTATGACTATGTAGGACATGCAGGTCCTCTCAAACAGTACCACCCCTCACAAGTCCTCATTCGATCATACACTAAGAGAAGCCCTTAGCCCTTCATTATCTCCCCTCTCCAGCCAACGAAACGATGGCCATTTGCGGGTGTATGGCAGCCGGGAAAAATCGCAAAAACCACTGGGTGCGGAGCTCTCCTAATACCGACATTAGGACTAAATCCGAAGACATAGTGCCCATTCCGAAGCGTTCGAAGAGGCCGGCCAGCTGGGCGCTGCAGACTTGAGGGTACCTCGGGAAATTCACCCTCTGCCTTTCTAGCCTCCTTCCAACTCCTTCCCGAAGGTCATGCTGAAATGTCAGAAAAGTCCCGACAGAGCGTGATTGCTGTATAATAATAATAATTATTCATTATCCTGATTTGGCGCCTTGAGGCCCATGCAAGTTTTTATCGGAAGATATGTACTTTACGTAGGATGACTCAATTTGACGTTTAGAACACTCACACTCAGATTTCATTTGCAGATACCACTCGAGATTAACCCTTACGGAGTATAACCTCTTCCGTGCATACCCACCACAGGGAAAAGCGAGAAAAACCTGTGGCTATCCAAGTGTGCTTTCATCATCCCACAAGTACAATATCACCGCAAGAGAGAGTGGTGTGTGGGTCCGACTGGATTCGAACCAGCATTCTCCTGTCTCGTGTAGGGTAGGTGTTCAAGCTACCCAGTATCTACTTGGGAGAACGGCCCGGATGGCGTACCACTGCACCATCCAACCCTAAAATAATGTGATTGCTGTATAATAGCGTAGCCTAACTTCTTTTGTACCGTCCAGGGCGCTGGGGAGTGCCGTTGACTCATCGACAATTGAAGCACTCCTGGCTAATTAGCCGAAATCTTGGTCTTGGCGCCCACAATCTTTCCGAATTTGAAAACTCCTCGAAAATGTCAGTCCTAGCATGCTCTTCAGAGACCTCTTTCCCCTCTCGCTCCACATCTCAGCCGCTTGTTCTTCCTCAAGATGTATAACCCCATCAGAGCAGCAGTCCCCCATAAACCAAGACCCCAACTTTCTATTTTTCGACTTGATTTCCTCCTTGCGGGTATAAGTAGCGTCGTAAATATGTAGAGAGTGATGGCCGGTAATGAATGAGGCAAGCTCCTGTTTGCAATTGGGGTGACGCCTTTATCGCTCGGCGAGGCGAGTTGATATGTCGTTAGATCGGGGTTGAGGACTCAGAAGATAATGATGAGTGCTGCATGGTTGAGAAGTCGTCAAATGGAGATATACATGTGTTTGCTTTCGACTTCGATTTGGATGCGATTCTTCTTGGCTATCCCAGACATGCAGAGCATACTGAGCGATTACACCGGCACCACTGGAAGGTGAAGAATTCGTCTTTGCCGGCACGCTTTAGCAATAATTACTTTTTTTTTTTTTTGCATCAGATTTTAATTGCGTATGCAGCTATCTAGCTATGACACAATATCAAAGAAAAGTACAGAAAAAATGTCTCAATTTACAAGAGGAGTACTCATGCCTCGGATTTTATTTGCAAGTACCACTGCGAAGTTATGGTGGCTTTTTCTTCACCCCAAGTCAACCCTCATCCGTGAATACCCACCCGGGGGAACGTCTCAAAAGCCCTGAGTTATCCAGACATGCCTCTGTCATCCATCAACTTTTCTCCGCGCGAAATATGATCTGAGATGTCTCCTTCCCAAGTGGAGTAGGTGCCCAGGTTACTCAAACCATACCAGAGAACATCACCAGGAGGCGGACCACAACACCTTCCATCGTTTGCTTGTTTTTATAGTGTCAGCTGCACTCTCGCAAGCGAAGTCTTGGCGCGCACAAAGCTCAATTCGTAAAACTCTTGCCAAAATTCAAAATTCCACGTCCGTCGAAAACGTATCCCTCTTCTGCATCATCTTGTGAACTTGTCCTGATCCCTCTCACGTCCATCCCAAAGAGCTATCTCCCAGATCTATGCTCCACGCTTTGCTTCCTCCGTCGGGTATAAAAATCGGCGTGGGCGTGTATTTGGTGACCGGCTGAGGCCAGAGAAAGTCGACGAGAGGTGTGGTCATTGAAACGAGGATGTACTAGGTCGTACTTGTAGACTTGATAAAGCTTAGCCGAGAATCGGACTCTTTGGGAGTGAAAGATTGACATGGTGGAGTAATTTGAATTTTTGCCTCGTGGGCCAACTTTGATATTGCGAAATTTGACTGAACTTGGCTCTGGGAGAATATTTCACTCCCAGGTTCGTAGAGGACACCGCGTACAGGTGTTCGGTCTTGCCCTCCAATAATTACTTGTATTAGACTGCAAAAACTTAGCCTCTTCAAATAGTTTCATCAAAAATTGGAAATTGACTCTAGCTCCCTCCAACTATCACAGTAGAATCTGTTGATCTGACATTGAATAAAACACTACTCAGGGGGGCTTCTGTATTCAATAGATTTTCTGCACTCCCAAGTACCAAAGTCGCACTGGGAGGTTAAGCTAGGCTGTAATACAGAATAAACTCGTGCTAAGAGTTTTATGTCAATTCAATACGACCTCCAATCTGCCCCTAATCACAACTAATGAATGAAATTGATAGAGAGCTAGGAAAGTGGAAAGGGGTTTCAAAGGTTCACGCAAATCCTGAGCACCGGGATGGCCGAGGGGACTATTCTCAACACCTGTTAGTGATGTCCTCTACGAACCTCCAGCTCTCACCGTAGAGTCTGCAGAGCCGAGATTGAGAATCAAAGTCCTCACTTCGACGAGGATTCCCAATCGCTGTCGTGGTCTATATGGTCTTCGTCTCTCAACACATCCCCCTATCACCACTACCACGAAGCTAACCAAGATCGAACTAGATGGTAGGGTAGAAGCCATTCTCATCACCAACCCTTGATCTTGGAGGAAAATTACCCGATGAGTTTCCGTAGCGTAGCCAGCACCCGATACGGAGAAGGTGGATTGGATCGAGTTGGTCTAATGTTATGAAGAAAGGAGATATTACGAAACAACTGACAGTTTGGAGCCTACTGAATCTAGTAATTAGTATTATTCGGTATTGGGATGACACCTCCTCCCAGATTAACTGTCTTGAGCTTTGATATTTCACCCAGCACCTGGTGTTCAGGATGTTCAGGATGACCAAGATGATCTAAGCTCTAACCCGAGATATTTTGATCACCAACACATATAATTTAGTTCATTATGTAATTGTAGGAAGCGAGGAGAATATAATCTCTACCGAGAGTGGTTACAGATGGGTATCTAGCATCAAGGCTAGAGAGTAGTAGAGATTTCATGAATTTACTTTAATTTAAAATTTTGATTTAACCCTCAGTGTCTAATAGATAAAATGAACATGCGCACCTCGCGTGGTTCCGATGCCAAGGCCTCGCCTGGCTGAGGCTGCAACTTTTTTGAGACTTTTCCCTGCGCACGCAGTGTCCATTGCAACTGCTATTATGGGCTAAAGGTTCTATGGACAAAGTGGCTAAACTCTTTGGGTAAACACTGAGTTGAATGGCTATTCATCACGGACAATATATAAAAGATCTTACAAGTAGCAAAAGAGGATAGGAGCACTGTACAAGGTATATCCTGGGTCAGAGAGCAACCAGATGTGCTCCAAAGTCATAGACTCAAGTTGCACAATAAACCCACATAAACCCATCCATTCACGCGGGTGGACGCCCTCCCCAAGCGTTTCAAAAGGATTGCCATGTCTTCAAATTTATTTCTAATGTCGCTCTAAAGGGAGCCCTGCACGTAGTATTTTTGCAAGCTTTTCCGGTTTCCATGTTTCCGAATACGACCCATTCTCATCGCTTGGTGGAACACAAAGTTAGGCTAGCAGTTACTCTGATTGTCTGACGGAATCAATTAGGTGGGCTGGCTCTAATCCATGCGATCTGTAGAAGAGGTGACGGGGGGGATAGAATAGCCGAGACATGGGTATCCCTAGCCTATAGGAAAAGAGTACGTGTAAAGAAATATTTTAGATGCTGTCGCAACACTATTTTGGGATGTGCATGGGTCAGGAGAGAGATCACAATATGTTGATAGTTAGTT